CATCATTAGGCACTGAAAGAACTGCAAAGCAGCAGGGAAGCCCTGACAGACTGTACACACTTCTAGGAGATCTCCTGGCTGCTGCTGCCTCTAACCTAGCTCCCAAGGGAGGAGGCAGGGAAACACCCAGAGAAAGGCTTCCTCATCAGACATGCCCCTTTAGCTAACAACGCCATTCACAAAGAGCACAAAGTTTAAAAGAGGCAGCTCCAAGCATCCAGGCAGGATGATTCCATAGGGTACTCTCATAGCGTATTAGAAACCCTTGTTAGGTTGCAACTTAATAGGCAAACTAGCCCACAACCAGTCTCCCAGCAGCCCAGGACACCTTTCCAACTGTTATCATATGATGTCACTGACACCGGACTAAAGGTCTTGATCTAACTCTTGACACTGGCTTTCCTGGTGGCCCTAGAGTAATATTAAAGAATATGACTATTCTAAGGCACTCGCTTTTTAAACTCACTCAAAACTAGGCCTGTCCTCTACAATTCCAGTAAGAAAACTCATTCTTCGGGGATTGAAGGCAGGAGAAAGTGTTCCAAAATGCACAAGGCATGACATATTTTGGCCACAATGAAATTTGTTAAGATTATAACTCCTTAATTAAAGATGGGGAAATTGTGGAAATATTGCCAAATGTATTCTATTTAACCCGTTAAGAAATCCTTAATCAGCTTTCTGTGCTGCAAAATGCCATGAGAAAAGCGGTCTCCTTGGCCCAGCGTGGATCACGTACAGAGCAGAGGGGCGAGAACGGAGTGCAAGGTGCACAGAAATTGAATTTTCACTCAGATCACACTTAGAATTTAAAGACCGTCTTCATGAATTCATAATTAAGATCACATGAAGGCCATTCCCTTTTTTTTGCAGAACTAGGAATTGAATTCAGGCCCTTGCGCTTGCCAGGGAAGAGCTTATTCTGAGCCATCTCCCTGGCCCCAGGCCATTCTTCATATATTTGAAAATCTCCACATCCTTGAAAGTTCAAACAAAAGAAATAGAATGATCAGAAGACATTTAAAAGCCTGGTGGAAAGGCAAGTACAGGCAAGAATACTGTTCCCTCACTCAAATACTTTGGAAAAGTAACTCAATGAAAAAGCATTCAAAGAAGAAAGTGCATTCTTTCTCTTGGGCAAAAAGCCTAGTAATTCACTCTGCTCTTTGCAACTCTGGTAGTTTATCAATCTAAACATAACCTAAAGAATTTTCTTCCCTCTCTCACTGGACCCTGAAACTGGAGACAAGAGATAAATGCCTGCCAGCATAAAAGCAGACAAAAGTCAAAAGCTAATTCATATCCTCTAAAACTATTAAAGACAAAACATCTCCAAGTAGACTTCCTTTAAAAGGTTTCTTGTGTCAAGACAACTCAAACTGCCTACTACCTAGACTGAAAGGAACCATTGTGCTGTAAATTACCGATTACCATAACTATCTAAAAGATCAAAGTACATAAATTATTTAGTTATTTATTTTTGGTGCTACAAATTAAACCAGTCCTCTAGGTACATATTCTGCCACTGAGCTACACCCCCAATCCACAAGATTCAAATAAATGCAAAGCCATTTTCACATCACTATTGTGTAAGTTCATGACATGTACATTTCTTTTCTAAGTAGGTCATCATGATCAGATGAAAGTAGTCAGGTCTTTGGGATACCAGGGACAGAAGAATCTACTATAGCCTTAGTATTTTATCTGTGGATACGCAAAGCTGCCATGACAAAAACAGCAAGCTACCAGCAAGCCCACAAAACCTGACCTGATGATCAATGGAATAGAAGAGAAGATGCACAAACAACTCCAAGAACACTCAGCTGCCTTCTCTTTGACAAGGGCTTCCACTTGAAGAAAGATACACTGCTGGGAAAACTCACTTTTCACATGCAGAAAATTGAACCTAAAACTGTATCTCTCACCATGCCTAAACTAAAGTCAAAATGGATTAAAGATCTAAATATGAAAACAGAAACTTTATCTGCTGGAAGACAGAATAGGTAAAACTCTAGAAAAAATAAGTGTAGGCAAAGACTTTATGAACAAAACCCCAATCACACAGGAAATGCTACAAAGAACCAACACCTGGGATCACATCAAATTAAAAGGCTTCTGCACAGCAAAAGAGGCGATCAACAGAGTAAAGAGACAACCCATAAAAATGGGAAAAATTTTACCAGCTACCACTCAAAGGACTAACATCCAGAATGTACAAAAAACTAAAAAAAAAAGTCAGACCCTTCAAATTTAAAAGTCCAAATTTAAAAGCCAAAAAATGGGTATCTGAAATAAATTTTTCTTAGATGAAGAAGTACAAACAACAAATAAATATATGAAAAACTGATCAACATTACTGGTCATTCAAGAAATACAACATAACACTGAGATTCTATCTCACCCCAGAAACAATGGCTATCCAAAAATCAACCAATAACTAATGTTGGCAGGGTAAAAAGAAACCTTTTTCCATTGTTGATGAAAGTGTAAACTGGTACAACCACCATAAAAATCAAAAAAGTAAAACTAGAGGTTACATTTGATCCAGCTATTCCTCTTCTAGGAATCTTCCCCAAAGAGTTAAAAGCATCATACGGATATCTATGTTTATAGCAGCACAATTTATAATGGCTAAATCTTGGAAACAGCCCACCTGCCCATCAAAAGATAAAGAAAACGGCCTGTACACAATGAAGTACTACTTACTGTGCCATAAAGAAGGACAAATTTGAATCATTTGTAGGTAAATGGATGTACCTTGAGACTACAATCTTAAGTAAAATAAATAACAAACACAAGTTTAAATATCACACTAATTCTCTTGTGTGTAAGTATACTGGACGGTAAACAAGGAGCAAAATGGATAACAGACACTGGAAGGTAGAAAGCACACCTTCAAGTGGACAGGGAAACAAGGGAGGGGGAAGGAGAAAAACAAAGGGAATTCGGATTAAAAAGGAATAAACGGGAAACAGAGGCTCTATGAACAGGGAGACGAAGGTCTGTGGGGGTGGGGAGAAGAATGGAAAACAAGAATTAAGGTAAGTATTACAGACAGGTACAAATTCCCTAAGATGAATGCCAACACTATGTATAGCAAATATGTACTAATAAACTTTTTAAAAAATAAAATAAAATTAGACAAGGAAAAAAAGGAATTATATCTGTGAAGTGAGCAGAAATCAGCTAAGATGATTTTTCTGGAGAATCCTGAAAATGTCACTATGCCATCAAACCACAGGTTTTCAGTAAGTCCAACTCTCATTATTTATTAACCAAATATTAAAACAAAAGCATGGCCGGCGGCGGCGCTTTGGTGAGTGTCTCTTGAGGTTCCCCGACGCCGTGGCGGCTGGAGCTGGAGGCCTGCCCTTCCTTGGGGAGTGTGGAACCGAGGATTGAACTCAGACCTTGTGCTTGCCAGACAGAAAAAAACAACACAAAAGATGTCTAAGCAACAACCAGCTCAATTTATAAATCCAGAAACTCCTGGCTATGTTGGATTTGCAAACCTTCCCAATCAAGTTCACCGAAAATCAGTGAAAAAAGGTTTTGAGTTCACACTGATGGTGGTTGGGTCTCACTATGCAGCTCGGACTCACAGTGATCGTCCTACCTCAGCATCCCCAGCACTGGGATTACAGGCATGTGCCACCATGCCTGATTTCAGTGGCTGGCACAGTGCAGGGCTGGCACAGCTTGTGGTACTCGAGATTGAACTTGGGACCTTGAGCTTGCCTGGCAGGCGCTTATGCCATTGAACTATCTCCCTGGCCCCCATAATACAGAATTTGATCACGGAAAGTGATTCATATACAAGAGTTTAACTGGTTTAGTAACCTACAAATGCAGTAAGATTATGAACTATTTTTTTTATTATGAACTATTTTAATAATGCTCTCAAGGTGCATGA